GTGAGGTCCTCAGCAACTGTCTCAAAAAAGGGGGATGCAGGGGATGTAGCTCAGTGGTAAAGCACTCTGAGTTCAATCCTCAGTATGAAATAAAATGCACATACAGAGATGGATTACTCCTGTAATCCCAGTGATTTGGGAGGCTGAGACAGGAAGATCCCAATTTTAAGGGCTCACACAGAGATGGGGCACCATGGCTCACTCCTGTAATCCCAGTGATTTGGGAGGCTGAGACAGGAAGATCCCAATTTTAAGAGCTACTATACTAAGAACCTGTCTCAAAAAAAAAAAAAATCTTAATGATAGAGCACCCCTGTATACAATTCCCAGTTCTGGGAAAAAGATGCATACATGTATTGGTGAGATATCAAATTCCTTATTAAAAACTACTTATGGGCTAGGGTTGTAGCTCAGTGGTACAGCACTTGCCTTGCATGCATGAGGCCCTGGGTTCAATCCTCAGCACCACATAAAAAAAATAAATAAATAAAAATAAAGATATTGTGTTCATCTACAACTAAAAAATATTTTTACAAAGTTTATTATATGAAATTTCAGATTAAGATTTTGGAATCTTAACTTTAAAAAAAAGCTTCAAATTGGCAAAATTAAAAGTCATCAGTTAAAGATGGGTATGCCCACAATAATTGTCTGGGTCCTGGTTCTTGTGCCATAGGTGGGTGATGTTATTGGTAGAGGCTGAGTGAGGAATGCTAAGAAATTCCCCATAATATTTTGCAACTCTTCTGTAGATCTAAAAACAGTTCAGACAATTTGAGGACATGTCAAAAAAGTTTTGTTATAGTTGTGTTACAAATAAAACATCTTCTAGGCACCAATGAATACATACTCATGGTGGGGACAGTCTTACTAGAAAAGAGACAATCAGACCACTCTAAGATACAAAGAGCAGTTGACAGTCACCAGACTCTGGCCTCAGTCAGTTGGGAGGGTGGCTGGTTTCCCAGATTAAAGCTAAATTCCACCGAAGTTCATTGGGAAATTGCTTAAGCATTTTATCAGGAATGATGTTTCTTACCTGAGAGAGATTATGAATTATATCATGCAATAAAGTTTTGCCCCCAGGCTAGGTCTGGAACAATTTTTTTTTTTTWAAACACAAATTATCAATACACCTCCTCGTCAAGGCACTGTGCTGCTGTGATGGAGGAGACCAGAATGAGTGAGGCAATGTCCTTGACCTTGATGAATCCAGACAAACCAAGGGCTAGGCAAGAGCAAAATGCTGTGGAGCATAGAGTGGAGGGGAGGGAGCAAAGGCTTGGTGGCTCTGCAGCACTGGAGAGGCTTTCACTGGGGTCCATGCAGAAGGGAAGGGCGTGAGCAAATGGGCAGGGGCAGGGGAGGGGCAGTGCACTGGGAACCCTCGACCTGTGTGTTTGGGCTTTTTGCAGTGCAGAGCTGCAACCCAAGGCCTGCATGAAGGCCAGCACTGCACCAATGAGCCCTGTTGGTTAGGTTTTCATTATTGTTTTGGTTCTGGGGATTGAACCCAGGGGCGCTTTACTACTAGGGTACATACCCAGTCCTTTTTATCTTTAGAGTCAGGGTCTCACTAAATTGCCAAGGCTGACCTCAAACTTGTGATCCTCCTGCCATAAGCCTCCCTAGTCACTGGAATTACAAGCATGTGCCACTACCTCTGGCTACTGGAAGTCAGTTTTGATGTAAGGGGAACATTAAGATATAGGCAAAGGGCAGGGGAAGAAGCCAGAGAAGTGACTATGAAATTTAGAGCCAGGGAGGACTTTGGAGACCATCTGGTCTAAGTTCTCATTTTATAGGAGAGACCAAATTGAGCAATTTTGCCTAGTCCTGCATGTGGGGGTGGGATGGGATATTGAAGGGTTCTGAGGACCTCTGCACACAGGTGTAAGCAACAGGGAAGTATGAGGCACAGCTAGTGGAGGTGCAGAGGAGAGCGGTCAAATTGGAGGGGTCCCAGGGAGACTTCCTGGAGGAGGAAGATGTTAAACCTAGAGGGCTTAACAGTGCCCAGGAGGTACTCTTTATGTGAGAAAGATCGTGATTCCCTTTTGGACACAATAGATTACCATGTTGCTTGTGTGTTCCCAGCTTCAACACCCAGTACCCTTCTCAGGCCACCCTAGCTCTCCAGAGCAGCCAGCATTATCATGGGAGCAGAAGGGGAGTAGCTTCCAAACTGAGAGGGGCTCACCTTATAGCTGATGGCAGTGGGGAGTTAAAGGGACCTTTAACTCTTCCCTTCAGCACCAGCCACCTCCTTATGGCTAACACACTTTCCCCTGATTCCATATGAAGTCAGCTAACACTAATGGAGCAGGTTCTATTCTAAGTACTTTACAAATAGCATTTTATTCCATCAAAATGACTCTCTGAGCAAAGGACTAATATTGTCCCCACTTTTCAGTCCAGAAAACTGAGGTTTGGTTGAGTCATTTTCTGCAAATCTCATAGCTATGAGTGGGCCACACTGAGAATTGGTCTGCTTGTCTGACTTCAGAGCCTACACCCCTGACCACTCTACTTTCCTGCCTCCCAGCTTCTCTGTCACCCACTTTCCTCACTCCCTGATCCGTGGGGATGCTGGCCTTTTCCTGTCTGGCCCCTCTCTACCAGGCACACCAGGCCTGCAGTCGACATCCAGCCAGGAGGACCGGGGAGTCACCTGTTTCAAAGTGTTTTCTGATACATTTTCCTGTCTGAGCCTCTCAAACAGCCTGATAAGTTAGAATTGAAATGAGTTGTCATTTCATAGAAAAGGAAATAGAGGTGCCATAGACTGGCTCGCTAAACAGATCCCTCCCACTGAACCACACTGTCAAGGGTTCCTGGGATGCTCTCTTCCAGAGACAGGAGAGAGGGCCACCTGAGAACCGTGAGCAACGGGCCTGCTACTGCTTCCTGGGGTGCCAGACCCCACTGTCCTGCATTGAAGCCATGTCCACAGGGGGCCCAGGGGCCTTTGGAGTTGATCACAAAACGAAAGATGACAGAAGTGACTGTGGCTAGAGCATAGACCATAGCACAAGCCTGCTCTAGCCCAGGGTGACAGATGGTTTTGGCATTCCTATAAGGGAAGTGGTAAGAGCTTGATCTCTATCTAGATCCTTAGTCAAGGGTGCTGGTCCTAACATARCCAGATCGGAGCCCACATCCAGGGCCAGCAGCTTTTGCACAGGGGTCCAACCCACAGGGACAGTACCGGGCCTTATATAGCAAGATTCAAGGAGGCTCTTCTCTTTGGCTTCCAGCAGGACACAAAGCAATGGAGTCCTCAGGAGGCAATTCAACAGAAGCTAAAAGCTATTTGCCTCGAAATGTTCCTTGTGACGCTACCAAGGCAAAGACTCAAACTAAAATTTAAAAAGCTCACTTTTGAGTGAGGGCTGTTCTGCCAACCCACGCAATAGAGTCTAATAGTGTAGTGAACAGCACGAAAAAAGTTTTGTGGAACAAAGTTGAGTCTACATCACACTGTGTCCCCTTGAGGATGACTCACAGGAACAATTTCTCTTGGTCTCAGTGCCAGGAAACTCTGTGTTTCTCCAGAGCAGCTGCTTTTAAGTTTTGGGTTCTACATATCTGTTAGCTGACCATGTTTCCCTTTTAGCTTTGACTGTCGGGAAGCTCCGTCTCCCATTTACGGCTCATCTCTCACAAATGTATGGCAGGGATTTTGGATGTCAGTGCTGATCTCAGCTTTCTTTTCATTCTTCCAATTTTCGTTCTATTTATGAATAATCCTATTGGATCATGTGCTGTGTTTGTAACTACCTGAGTGGTTTGTTTTTTGAAATGGAATAGAGTGGAGGAGAAATAAAGGAGGAAAAGAAAAGTTACATGGGGAAACTTGGGAGGAAATAATTCTACTACTATCCCTTTCCAGTTTAGCTAAAGGGCATCAATTTAGCTGGTCTCTTATAGAAATATAATGTTGACACCTTACACCCATACCTGGTGCGTATTAGAAAAATTTCGGATAATTGGTTGATAAGACAGGAAAATGCAAATGAAATATCTCAAAACAATGAGATATCACTTTTCATCCCCCAAGTTGGCCAAAATCAGTCTGACCATACCAAGAATTGCCATGGATGAACACTTGTAGGGACAGCTCCTGAGGCTGCTGGGGTGTCCTGAGGAACCCAGGAGTGGGAAGACTCTTTTTGTCAGTCACTGTTGACCCAGGCCTCAACAAGAGAAGGAAAAACAAACTGTGGTTTGCCCATACAAGTGAACCCTCTACAGCAATTAAAATGGATGAATCACAGCCATGGGTGCTGCTGTGGACAAAGCTGAAAACATAATGGTAAATGAAAGCAGCAAACTGCAGATGGTCATATAAGCTTGGTTCTATTTCTACATTGTTTAAATTGCAAAAACCATATTATTGCCAGGTGTGGTGACTCACACCTATATTCCCAGTGGCATGGGAGGCTGAGGCAGGAGGATCTAGAGTTCAAAGCCAGCCTCAGCAAAAGCAAGGTGCTAAGCAACTCTGTGAAACCCTGTCTCTAAATAAATACAAAATAGGGCTGGGGACGTGGCTCAGTGGTCATGTGCCCCCGAGTTCAACCCTAGTACCTCCCCCCAAAAAAACCCAAAATACCATATTATCTTGTTCTTGGGTCCATATGTATGCTGCCAGTATATAAAGGTATGAATGAGGACAATAAACACCTGAGTTGGGACAGAGAGACAAGGAAGAGGAAGGGGATCATGGGAGAGTTGCTGTGGGTGCTGGATACGTGGGTGTAGCCTCTATTACTGACTATTCTCTAAAACTTTTCACTAAAACCAAGAAAACTGATGGGAATGGGAATGCCACCATGCACCTGGTGAACGTCCTGCCGGTGTCAGGACAAGGACCAGAAGCAAAGGTGTGAAGAGCTATGGTGTTGGGGAGGTAGAGCCTGCTAGTGTTGAACACGTGTCCTGATGGGTCTAAGAGGACAGGAAGGCGTCAGTCACTGTGATGGGGCCCTCTGTTGCAGGCTTTGTGGTCCAGGGCTCCACTGGCGAGTTCCCCTTCCTGACCAGCAGAGAGCGCCTGGAGGTGGTGAGCCGCGTGCGCCAGGTCATACCCAAGGACAAGCTCCTGCTAGCCGGCTCCGGCTGCGAGTGTGAGGCCAGAATACCCTGGGACCCCCCGGGTGGCTGGGCTGTGGGGTTCAGGCTCCTTGGCTCTGGGGTCAGTTTCTGTCTTCTTGTTCTGCCTCTTCTGGGCCATGCCGAGGCCCCCTTTGCTTGGCCCAGCGTGTTGACCCAGGCCTCCTTCCTCCTCCCTCCTGCAGCCACTCAAGCCACAGTGGAGATGACTGTCAGCATGGCGCAGGTCGGGGCGGATGCTGCTATGGTGGTGACCCCTTGCTACTTCCGTGGCCGMATGAACAGCGCTGCCCTCATTCACCACTACACCAAGGTGGGCACCAGTCAGAGGCTTGAGACCAAAAGGAGGCTGGCTGAGGCAGAGGCTCCTCTTCATGTGAATGGCAGCTATGGGACATGGGTGGAATGCCACCATGTTCAAGTTGTGTGACACTGGGTGACTAGCTAACCACTCTCTGTCATTATTTCCTCCTCTCTGAAATGGGAGGAATAAAGACATCTACCTCGTGGGTTGTTGAGGATGGAGACAGATCGTTGCTGTCATTGCTGCTTACAGTTGGGGCTTGCAGCACAGGTGGCTTAGTGTGAGGGGGTAGGCCTGTCCAGGTAGCCATGCAGTCACCCCAGCCAGGACCTGTGCAGGAAAAACTCCAATTCCAAGGGCCTGGGCTGGCTGCCCTCTCCCCATTTTTCTCTGTACCCCTCAGGTTGCTGACCTCTCGCCAATCCCTGTGGTGCTGTACAGTGTCCCAGCCAACACGGGGCTGGACCTGCCTGTGGATGCAGTGGTCAAGCTTTCCCAGCACCCGAATATTGTGGGCATGAAGGACAGTGGTGGTGACGTGAGTGGCAGCGTCTCCCCGGCTGGGCACCCTCCTCTTTGTCTGGACCCTGGCATTTCAGCCACCACCTTCGGGGAAGCTCTGAGATCTGGGCTCCTGTTGGGCTTCTCTGTTGCATGTGCTTTCTGGGGCATTGTCTGTACTCAAAGGCATCTCTCTGAGAACTGAACTGTCATTCTGCAACATTTGCCCAGCTCATCTAGGTGGGAGGTTGAGGTCCTGGGCTCAGCTCTCACACCAGGTTTGCTATTGCAGGTGACCAGGATTGGGCTGATCGTTCACAAGACCAGCAAGCAGGATTTCCAGGTGTTGGCCGGATCGGCGGGCTTCCTGATGGCCAGCTATGCCTTGGGTAGGCCACCCGCTGCTCTAAACTGTCATGGGTGACCAATTAAGCAGGAAAACTGGGAGTAAGACTGGGTGGTTTGTCAGAAACTTGGCCACCCTGCTTGCTTGTTTGAACCTGAATGCTTGAGAGTGACTTTGTTGGGTGGAGGGGGGGCTATGTGCAATCCCTGGCCCGAAGTTTGTACAAAGTCCCCATGCTTAGATGACAACTTTAGCTCCTTTTACCTCATCCTGCAAATGGTTCTATGAAGGCAGAGATCTTGAGGCTTCCCCTCTAGGACAGAAGTCCACTTTACTCCCTGCTTAATCCCAGGCCAGAGTGAACTGTCAGACCTGCAGGGTTGGGTCAGGGATCTTCAGCTGCTTGAGCAGATTATTATTATTATTATTATTTTTTGTATAGGGATTGAACTCATGCACTCAACCATGGAGCCACATCCCCAGCCCTATTTTTCGTATTTTATTTAGAGAGAGGGTCTCGCTGAGTGGCTTAGTGCCTTGCCATTGCTGAGGCTGACTTTGATCCTCGTGGTTCAGCCTCTCAAACCGCTGGGATTGCAGGCATATGCCACTGTGCCTGGCTGCCTGAGCAGATTCTGTCCCCGTCAAGGATACTAGGGATGTCACTTAGACAAACTACTCTTGTCTGTTTTGGATTAAAGTTCTTTGGTTCAAGTGGGGCCTGGGCCACGAAAGGAAGGGGGGTATGATGGCAGCTTCTTTTCCCTTCAGCAAAAGGCCCATGGATTCAGCTTTGAGCAACTTTTCCAGTACTGCAAGGGGCAACACTGGGTCCTGTTCCCTCTGATCTCTGCAGACTTTGGCTTGCTGTCTAGGTCCTGGCACACCCCCAATCTGCAGTGCAGGGAAGAAGGGGGAACCCACTTCCTCCTCCTTCCTGAGAGTGGGGTGAATGGGAAAGAGCACAAGCTCTGGAGGTGGGATTATCTGAGCTAAAATCTCAACTTTGCCATTTATGAATCAATAAGGGAAAGGCACTCAACTGCTCTGGGCATGAGTTTCTACTCTATAAAGTAAAAGGAAATGAAAGCATCCCCCTTCCATTGGCTAGAGTGCCTGGTACATAGTAGGTATTCTATAAATGGCAGCTGTATTCGCTCATTCCAAATTGTCTCTACTCTTTCCTTTTGAGGGCACTGTGCTTAGTATCATTTCTAACTAGACTCAGAATCATGCTCAGAGGCTGCAGATGTGGCAGAGCTTTCGGGGATCACAGCCAACCCATTTTCCTTGCTTAGATAAGAACAGAGGATAAGAGAGATTCTGTGACTTGTCCAAGATCATTGCAGCCAGCGGGAGGAAATATGTGGTCTCCTAACCCTGTGCCCAGAGGTCTTTCCACTCCTCCACCCCAGTTTGAATTTACAGGGGGAAGGAGATTTCAGAAGAGCACCGGTGTCCAACCACTCCAGTCCTCCCAGGCCTGGTGAATCAGGGGCCGTTGGAGGAATTCTGGAGGTGTCATGCGGCCAGGGTGACCTGGCTCTGGGAGATGGTAGCTGGATGCAAGGGAGAAACTGTCCTTGAGCTATTCCCTGCTCCTCAGACAGCTGAGCAGCTCTTGGCCTGCGGGCTTCCATTTTGAATATACAGGCAGCCTTTCTCTCTGGAAATATGTACTCTGCACTCGCAGAACATGCCTTTGACGAGGCCAACAGGAGCACAGAAATCTAGATCCTATGACCCCAGAATGAAGARGTTGGGATTCTCTGTGGGAAGTGGCTGTGGCTGATGTTCTTTATCTTGCTCTGGGCAGGAGCTGTGGGGGGCGTGTGTGCACTGGCCAATGTCCTGGGGGCCCAGGTGTGCCAGCTGGAGCGACTCTGCCTCACAGGGCAATGGGAAGCTGCCCAGAAGCTGCAGCACCGTCTCATTGAACCCAACGCTGCGGTGAGCTCTCCCAGACAGGGGCAGCAGGGGAGGGGCTCTGTATTCTCATTGAAGAGGGAGTCCAGGCTAGCATTCCCTCCACCCCTGCCCCATCCCTGCCCTTTCAGAAAGACTTTTTATTTAGAAAGTGTGGGAACTTCTTGTGCCTCCCCAGAAAATCTTGGCTGCAGACAAAGTTGAGCCCTGTTGCTTATATACGCATTAGAATTCCTCTGGAGGTTTACACAAAAGTCCTAATTCCTTGGATATGAATTAAAACAAGTGTCCTGTGTATTACAACTCAAGCAATCCTGGGACCATATTAAGAGATACACTGCCTTAGAGAGTGGTCCGTGAGTCTTTAGGCCAGTTTTTCAGGGACCAGATCTTAAAAATCTGAATGATTAGGAGTTGAAAAGAGAAGTTGGAAGGCTGATGATGTTCAGAACCCTGATTTCCCAGGAGAGTTCTGTCTTCAATAATCTATTCTGCAATCAGACTGTGTGCCCCAATTCTGTGTTGGGTGAGTCAAGGAGAAGAATGTAAGATGGACTGATTGTCAAGATCAAAGCCATTTTGAAGTTTGAGGCAAACAGAAAAGTGTGTGCCTCTCTCTATATATGCTTTATATATATATTTTAAATTAAACTTTTAATCTTGAGACAATACAGTTTTAAGAAATAATACAGAGAGATCCAACTTTCCTCCAATGGTAACATCTTACAAATCTATAGAATAATTTTACAATATTGGATAAGATATACTATATTTGAAGTTGATACAGTCAACTTCAAGTTGATACCATCACCACAAGGATCCCTCCTGCTACCCTCTTACAACCATGCCTACTCAGCCCCGTTCCCACTCCTTCCTTAACTCCTGGTGACTCAAATAATGTTCACCATTTTTATAATTTTGTCAGTTCTGGAATATACTATTTGGTAGCATTCAAGACTCTACTATATGGAAACATAGTATATAACTTTGGGGGATTGACTTTTTTCACTCAGCATTATTTCTTGGGAGATTCACCCAGGTTGTTGCCTATATCAATAGTAATTCTGAGTAGTATTCTATGGTATGTCTGTACCTCAGCCTGTGTAACAATTTACCCTTTGAAGGGGGGTTGAGCTGTTTCCAATCTTTGGCTATTAAAAACTGCCATGAGAGCTGGTCACAGTGGTACGTACTTGTAATCCTAGCTACTCTGGAGATTGAAAGAAGAGAGCCAAGATTTTGAGGCCATCTGGGTGTGGTGGTGCATTCCTGTAATCCCAGCAGTTTGGGAGGCTGAGGCAGGAGGATCACAAGTTCAAAGCCAGCCTCAGCAATTTAGAGAGGCCCTAAACAATTTAGTGCAACCCTGTCTCAAAATAAAAAATAAAAAAGGCTGGGGATGTAGCTCAGTGGTTAGGTACCCCTGGGTTCAATCACCAATACCTGTCTCCCAGCACCCCCCCGCCCGAAAAAAAGATTCTGAAGCCAACAAGGGCATCACAGTCAGACCCTGTCTCAAATAAACGAACAAACAAAAACTGCCATGAACATATGTGTACAGGTTTTTGTGTGACCATAAATTTTTATTATTTTTCTAGGATAAACACACAACAATGCAATTAATGGGCCATAGATGATGGTTGCATGTTTAGTTTTTTAAGAAACAGCCAAACTATTTTCCAGAGTGGCTATATCCTTTTACATTTGCCCTCCTGTGAAGGTCTGTAAGATCCAGAGTCTCTGCATCCTTACCAGCATTTGGTATTATGGCCATTTTTTACTTTAGTCATTCTGATAGGGGTGTAGTAACACCTTATGGTCTAAATTTGCACTTCCCTGGTAGCTAATGACATGGAACATCTTTTCATGTATTTATATCATAACCTCTTCACTCAAATACTTTTCCCCTCTCTCTGGTGATACTGGGGTTTGAATCCAGGGTCTTCCACACGTAAGCAAGCACTGTACCGCTGAGCTGCACCTCCAGCCCTTTTGATTTTGAGACAGAGTCTTGCTAAATTGCCCAAGCTAGCCTCAAACTTTTAAATTCCTGCCTCAGCCTCTGGAGTCCTTGGGATGATGTGCCTCCCTTTGCCTGTTTTCTAATTGGATTGTTTGGGCTTTTCACTGTTGAGTTTTGCAAGTTCCTTGTATTTTTTAGATAGTAGTCCTTTGTTGGAGATGTGATTTGTAAACATTTTTTTCCCCAGTCTGTAGCTTGTCTTTTCATTCTCCTTATAGTATTTTTTTTTTGCCAAGCAAAAGTTTTAGATTTATCAGTGCTGTCTTTTATGAATCATGCTTTTGTTGTCAAATCTAAGAATTCTTTGCTTTGAACTAGAATGTGAAGTTTTTCTCCTATAATTTTTCCTAAAAGTTTTATGGTTTTACGTTTTCAAGTTTATGACCCATTTTTGAGTTCATTTTTGATTAAAATGTGAGTCTTGGGTCAAGTTTCCTTTCCTTTCCTTTTCTTTTTTGGCCTATGGATATCTATTTGCTCCCCACCATTTGTTGGAAAAGCTGTCTTTCCTCCATTGAATTGAATTGCTTTTGCACCTTTGTGGAAAATCAATGGGGCATATTTGTATGGGTCTATTTCTGGGCTCTTTATTCTTTCCATTGATCTATCGGTCTATCCCTCCACAATACCACTCAGACTTGATTGTTGTAGCCACACAAGTCTTAAAATAAATCTTATAATAGACTAATGCCTCCCACTTTGTCCCTCCCCCCCAAAATTGTTTTAGCTAGTCTATCCTTTGTCTTTCCATATAAATGGAATTTTGTCTATATCTACAAAAGAATCTTGTTGAGATTTTGATAGCAATTTTGTTCAACCTGAATAACAATCTAGGGATGATTGATACCTTCACTATGTCATCTTCTAATCCCTGAGCACGGTGTGAGGCTCTATTTATTCAGATCTTCTTTGATTTATTTCTTCAATATTTTGTAGTTTTCAGAAAAAAGTCCTGTGCATATTTTGAGAAATGTATACTTAAGTAGTTCATATTTTTGAGTGATCAAAAATGTATTTTATTTTTAATTTTTTATTTGCTTTGGTACTAGGGATTGAACACAGGGGTACTTCCCTACTGAACTACATCCCTAGCCCTTTTTATTTTTTATGTTGAGACAGGATCTCTGTTGCTTAAAATCTAAATTGCTGAGGCTGGCCTTGAATTTGCAATCTTCCGGCCTTATCCTCCCAATTTGCTGGGATTACAGGTGTATGCCATTGTGCCCAGCTAAAATGGAATTGTACTTTTAATTTCACTACCCAAGTGGTTAATACTAGCTTTTAGAAATATAATTTTTGCAGTTCTATCTTATGTCCTGTGAATTTGCTGAACTCCTAGTTCTAGGAGATTTTGCTTTATAGATTTCTTACATAGACACTCAGATCATTTACAAATAAGGATGGTTAGTGACTTCCCTTCCCTTCTGTATGCCTTGTATTTCTTTTCTTGCCTTATTGCATTGACCAGGACTTCCTGCAGAGTGGGGACTGAGTGGTGAGAGCAGACATTCCTTTCTTGTTCCTGATCTTAAGGGAAAGAAAACATTCAGTCTTTCACCATTAAGTTAAATGTCAACTCTAGGGTTTTTAAAAAATTATTATTTTTTTTTCAGCTCTAGGTTTTTATAGCTCCTTTTTATCAAGTTGAGGAAGCTCCCATCTATTGTAAGTTTTCTAAGACTTTTATAAAATCATGAATGGGTGTTGAAATTTTGTCAAATGATTTTCTGCACTGATTGACAGGATCATGTGACTGCTTTTTCTTTAGCTTGTTAACATGGTGGATTATATAAAGTAATTTTCAAACGTTTGGCACAGATTTGCTTCCTTGGAATGCACCTCATTAGTCATGGTGTTTAATTCTTTTGATACATTATTGAATTTCACTTTCTAATATTTTGTTAAGGATTCTTGTGTCTGTATTCATGAGGAATATTGGTCGTTGGTCTGCAATTTCCTTTTTCCTTTTTTGTTTAGCCTTAGTCTGGTTTTGGTATCAGGGTAAAAATAGTTTGCTAAAATGAATTGGGAAGTGTTCCCCCCTTCTCTGTTTTCTGAAAGAGGCTGTATAGAATTGGTACTATATTCTTTAATTTGTAGAATTCTCTAGTTRAAACCATAGACACTTGTGGATTTCTTCTTTGGGAGTTAAAAAAAAAAATTATACCTCTTTGGTTGGGGATGTAGCTCAGTTGTGCACTAGGCTTCTACAGATTTGGCTTGAAGGGTGAAGAGTCTCTTTTCTGCCCTCACATGCCCTCACCTGTGTGTCTGGTGGGCGAGGGGAAGGAGTGGGAGAGGGGAAGCACTGGGTGGTCTGCTTATGGTGGCAGTGGTCAAAGTCCTGACTCTCCTCCACTAGACCTCTTTGACACCTTCCACCTGGGAGTGATATCGGACTGGAAGTTCAGGCTTTGCTGGCCTGGTTGGGGTGAGGCCACAGTGTACTCTGCGATGTTTGGCTAGAATAGAGAGTAGTAGTTTCTTGCAAGTTTTCCATTTTGCTGGACTGCCCCTTTCCTGGTCTTTTGGCTGGAGACCACTGGCTTTGTTGGGACTTCTGTTGTCCATGTCCAATGGCGTTTCATGGTTGCTGCCTTCAGTTCCAAGCGTGGGCCCTCAGACTCACCACTGTGCTCTGCCTGGGGCTGAGGTCCCTGGTTGGTCTTCCTTCTCTCAACCCTTCAGAGTCTCATGTGTATTTTTATATAATGTCCAGAGTTTTTAGTTGTACTTATCAAAATAACAGGGACAAGTACATTTACTTCATCTTCCAGGAAGTGGAAATTCTTTTTTTTTTTCCTAAAAAAGGGGTTCCCTCTGGCCACCAGAACATTCAAGTAGTTGAAAAAATATATTGCAAAGTGGGTATATAAAAACTCACAGCATTATTTTAGGTTTAATTATTTCATATATACCAAAACACAATTTATTATAATTTTACTTTCCTGGTTTATTGAAAGAAAACTCACTAAAACTCCCCCCCCCATCTACTTCTATGGGGGGGTATTAAAAACAAACAAACAAAAAAATATGTACATAGGAGTTCGCATGTTTACTTTTGTCCCATGCTAAAATAGGGTAGGGCTCTATTTGAATTCGTGCTGAAACTTTTCATGATGGATTTTTGCATTGAGGTGTTTTTTTTTTTTTTTTTTTTTTTTTTTTTTTCTGGGGATTGAACCCATGGGTGCTTTACCATTAAGTTACACCTACAGCCCTTTTTATTTTTTCTTTTGAGAAAGGGTCCTGATAAGTTGCAGAAGCCCCAGACTTCTTCTTCTTCTTTTTATTTTTATGGTACCAGGAATTGAACTCATCAGCACTTGACCACTGAGCTGCATCCTCATCCCTATTTTGTATTTTATTTAGAGACAGGGTCTCACTGAGTTGCTTTTTGCTGAAGCAGGCTTTGAACTCACACCTCAGCCTCCAGAGCTGCTGGGATTTACAGGCATGTGACACTGTGCCTGGCGGAGGCCTCAAACTTGAGATCCTCCTGCCTCAGTCTCTTGAATCACTGGGATTACTGGTGTGCACCACTGCTCCTGGCTTGGTTTTGATTTTTTAAAAAATATTGTGTTGGGCCAGGCATGGAGATGCACACCTGTAATCCCAGTGTCTCCTGAGGCTGAGGTGGGGTGATGGCAAGTTCAAGTCCAGCCTCAGCAACTTAGTGAGACTGTGACTCAAAAAAAGAAAAAAAGAGTTGGGATGTGGCTCAGTAGCTAAGTGCCTCTGGGTTCAATCCCCAGTGCCAGGAAAAATAAATTGTGTAGCTCTGTAATGAAGCACATTTCTAGCATGTTCAAGGTCCTGGGTTTGAGGGTTCGATCTCCAGTGCCACCACCACCAAAAAAAAAAAAAAAAAAAAATTAGATCACAATATCTTAATCTTGATTATTGAGTTTTGTTTTTTGTTTGTTTTTTTGTTTGTTTGGTTTTGTTTTGTTTTTCTGCTTTTCCTTAAGTTCGGCATGGAAGGCACACAGTAGTCCTAGGCTGTGTGTTACAGGCACTTTCAATGGTGCTTTGTTTGGTAAAATGGAGGGCAGGTTCCAGACCTTCCTCAGCTTGTATCCTTACCTCAAAAGGGCAGATTAACTCAGCTTTAGAGAAGGGACRCCTGAGGAGGAAAGCATGAGTCTTCCTGTATGGGAAGCTTCCCTGGGATCAGCCGTTCTAAAACCACAGAAATGAGTGCCTTTCAGCTAAGCCCATGGGGCACAGGCTGCCCTGAACATAATGGACACTCCACTGGGGTGGGGCCTCAGCTTTTCCCACTCCCAACTCTCTATGAAAGAGAAGGTTCCAGAACCTGCATTCCCTAGGACAGAAAAAGGAGGTGATGCTTCCTGGGACTCTGGGGACTGATCTAATATTAGTGGTGATTTTCTCATCTGGTCCTTGTGACATCTCTATGGGTAGGTGTAGTTATCGACTTGTTTTACAGACAAGCAGCTCGGGTTCCCCCTTGGGAAGATAGGAGATCCAGCTGCCAACCCAACTCTCTGCATGCAGTCCACTTACCCCATCTTGCTTTATCCTCATGCTGTGTGCTCTCCTGTGCCAGCTCTGGGCACACACTCAGGAATGCCTGGAACACCTAGCCACTGCCTGGGCTGTAGGCTCAGACACCCCAAGAGCAGCCTGATGTCACTCTATTGCCCTGCCCTGATCGAATGCAATGTTCTTCCTCTACCTCCCCACCCCCAGCCCTCCTCCTGCCCATGGCTATATTTAGGACTTTCTGTGGTCTTTAGCACCAAACAGCTGGCCCTTTTCTGGGCCTRAAGAGGGTATGCCAGCATTCCAGAAAAACATGGTAGAAACAGAATTTTTCCCAGGTACCACTTAGTTTCATCTCTTCCCCTAGTTTTTTTTCCAACTAGAGAAGTTTTGGGAAAAAGACCAGACTGTTAGAACATCATGGGTAGGACTAGGCCTTGCAGGAGAGTGACTTACTACCCATCCCAAGAAAAAGCCTGGGCTTGCTAAAGCCTACTGGCCTCTAGTGGTAAATAGTTACTTCTACTCCAAACAACCTCACTATTCTTACCCTTCATTAGAGCCCATACTTCTAAGATGTTGCCTTCCCTCCAAATAAAAGCTATTTCTTCCTTCCATCCTTCTTTCCTTCCTTCTTATACTATGGATTGAACCCAGGGCCACAATACCACTAGTCACACACTCGTACTCAGCTCCTTTAATTTTTATTTTATTATTTTATTTTACTAGGAGTTGAAACCAGGGGCACTTTACTACTGAGCTACATCCCCAGCCCTATTTACAACTTTTTTTTTTTTTTTTGAGACCAGGTCTCACCAAGTTTCTTAGGGCCTCAATAATTTGCTGAGGTTGGCCTTGAACTTGTGATTCTCCTGCCTCAGCCTCCTGAGTTGCTGGGATTTCAGGCATGCACCCTTGCACCCGGCCTCATCTAACACTTTTGATCATATGAAATAACATGTTGCTATATCAAAAGCAAAGAAACTTGATGCTTCATTTATTCTGTAAAATGTCATGCATCATTTTAAATTAGGACAAAAGTGTTAGGTCCCCTACTATAACAGATAAGCCTTTAGAGATCATGTTGTCTAGCCCCTTCATTTTTTGGACAAGAGAATTTGCTCAGATAAGAAAATAACATAGAGTTTTACAACAAAACTTCTTTGAACAATGATGGATTGTTTTTTCCTGTGAAAGCATTTAAACAGGGCCCTGGAGGAGCTATGGGTGGATGGGGACCCTGATGCCAGGGGTAAGGGTCTGGTTATGCCTGAAGTTTCCTCCTAATTCCCAGGCCTGATGTGACCAGATCAGGCTCTGGGAACTGGGATGCAGACTGGTGTTGCACTAGTGCCTAGTCTTTACTGCCTTCTCCCATCCCAGCTTAAAGGCTAGATGCCACTCTCCTTCATATTGGGATGGATTTTTTTTCTCCTAAAACCAAAAGAGGCATTTTCCTTGCTCAATCCAARGTTTTTGCACTTTTCCATTACAGACCTGCTTTCTGGTCTCTAAATCTGGATTCCCAATGTATCCTGGGTGCCACACATTTGGTAGTTTCTTTACAGGGGAAGGAGAGTGGGAACCCCAGCTGTCTGAAAGTGACAGGTCTCTGGGTACTGGGTAGGTGTTTGCACGGCATTCCACAGTCTCTTCTAACAGACCCTGCTTCTCAGGTGACCCGGCGCTTTGGAATCCCGGGGCTGAAGAAAACCATGGACTGGTTTGGCTACTATGGAGGACCTTGTCGCGCCCCCTTGCAGGAGCTGAGCCCTGCGGAGGAGGAGGCTCTGCGCCTGGATTTCAGCAGCAATGGCTGGCTCTGAGGGCAAGCGGAGTACGCTGAGGCCTGCGTCATCTCAGTCTCCTGCCTGGTCCCATAGCCTTAAGAGGAGCAGCAAGCATGGGGGGGGGGGGGAGGCTCCTCTTCCACTTTCTCCTCCAGGTGGCTTGTACTAGGCACCTCCATGCAATCTGCTTTTCTCAGAGTCTGTGACTCTCACATTYGTATCTTAGATGCTGAGTCTCTAGAGACTTTCAGACTAGGAAGGAGCAGTCTTGGTCTTTTTACTGTGGATGTTTTCCTCTGTCCCAAGTCTCATAAACTAGGGAGCCCATGGGAAGGGCAGGGGGGCAACTGGACAGTATGGACAACTACTTAAATTGGAGTCTACGAACCTGAGTCTAGCACAATATGGCTGGAAGTCAGGGCTATGCCTAAGCACCCAAGTTCTGATTCCTTCCAGAGGAAGTACCAGGTTAGAAAACCTGAACAGGAAGGTGTCGCTGGTCTTTGAAAGGCTCCCAAGCTGCATTCTAGCCACAAAGCCCTTTCCTAAATCTATTTTCATTCATTTCATATTCTTSTCTCTAGCTTTGATTTCCATCACTGAGTGCCCAGTGGCTTATCAGATTGGTAAACAATGACACCTGGTGGACAAACAGGGGTCTGCRTTCATTCTAGAAAACATTCTGACCAGCCCAGTTCTGAAACACTAGGGAGAGGGACTTGCTCTGAGACAGGGCTATCCTCTTGTCTATAGGCATCATACTTTTTTCAGGGGGGGGGGCAGTACCGGRGACTAAACCCAGGGCAAGTGTGCTACCACTGAGCTCCATCCTCATCCCCAACACCCTACTTTTATTATTAAAAAGAATCACTTTATTACTATAATAATGTTTTAACAAGTGAAACCAATGTGGCTATGTACTAGGTTTCCTGGTCAGATGTAAAGAACCTTCCTGGAGGAACTCGAGTCCTTAACTGTCTGCCTTTCACAATACTGAGCAAAGAGCCATTAGATCTGTGGTGGCCTAGGAACTCTTCATGATTTCAAATGGGAGACTATAAGAGTTGAAAGGGTGCAAGTAAAATATTTAGAAACACCAAAATCATAGAGGGTGCTTTCTTCAAAATGTTTAACGCTTTTCAGTGGTTATATATGGAAAACCAAGTACTTTTTAAAAATTACTGACAATAACCTTCAACTGAAACTGGCCATCTGATGTCATTCAAGCTTGAAGCTTTGGCTGCTGGGTTTCTCACAGGCACCTTCTAGAGGAGTTGGGCTCAGAGAATTGGGTTTARGGTTGAGGGGAAAATGTAAGGGCTAGGGAGGAAGGCTGGTGGAGGGACCTCTATTGCTTCAATATGCCTGGCTTTAAGTGCCCAGTCCTTAYTGCTCCTAGTGTCCGTGGGACCTTGTGGAAGCCGCCTACCTTCCCTGAGCATCTGTAATACAGGATAATAATCATACCTTCCTCCCAAGACTGAGTAACAGCARGTATGTAAAGGGGTAACACTGTCTTGTTCCCGGTGACTTAAACACTCAGGGGTCACTCCAGGGGACTGGGCTGCACCAAATAACCACACAAGAGACAGAAATACCTTTTTCTTTGAGGGTGCTGTGACGACTCCTCTGACCTTAGGGGTCTGCAGAAAGAGAGAAAGCTGACCCCTTTTATTGAGGAGAAGCCATTCAAATGAGGCAAGGGGTCAGGTTTCAAGGGGCTGAGTCTAGCTTCATGATGTCTGCTGTCAGCAGGTTCACTGACATCTAGTAGGCCTCACCCAAGGAAAGAGTAAGAGAGGGGACATACAAAGGGTGTTTCCATGGAACATTCTATCCCAAACAGGGCAAGGGGTAATATCACAAAGGATCAGGTGAGCGTAGCTCAATCCCTGGGGATGTAGGAAGTTACGCCCATGCATGAAGACACATTGCGTTAAGATTGGGGCTTCAGTTCCTTAAGCAACTAGATCACGGGGTGACCGACAGTCACCAGGAGGGAAAGCAAATGCTGGTCACATGCTWTGTCGGCCTCCCACATAACATGGTGGGGGAAGTTCTGTCACTCTAGTGTTGCAGAGACAGGGAAACCCAGATATGAGGTGACATGATTAAAGTCAACCAGCAGGCCTGGCAATAATGGTCTCAGGCCTTGTACACTCTGATGTTCAGGGTGAGAGGAGGCCTATGGAAAGGGAGTTGGAATCAGAAAGACTGTGATAGAAATTCCACCCAGCTCTACTTACCCATTCACCACTCTGGGCAACTTAATCTTGTCTGATTAAAAAAAAAAAAAGTTCATACATTCTACTCGGCAGACATTCTGAGAATTAGGTGATGTTTTATATAGTACAGCTGTCAGTTCCAAGCCCCACACTGATTTAACTTTTATAAAGAACAAATGTGTTGGTATTCATGAGGATTCAGGGTAAGAAAGTCATAGAAACAAAGTATAGGCAGATCTGGTGATTTGTTTATTTCTATGAACACTTGATTCTACAATACAGTTCACAGAATAAATAGAGGCACACAGTTATAATTTCCACCATAGTCTGCTGTTGAGGGAGATTCGGTGTGAGGATGGGAGCTGGGGATGTGTCTGGGTCCTGTGGTAACTGGAGGCCTCATGATGAACTGTATAGGGACTCCACCTTCCAAAATCTGACCAAGGCCTGAAGATCAAGGCTCTTGGTGGGAGAGTTATAGCAAGTCAAATGCGAGGAACAGCCAATGCTTTTAGTTCACCACAGTCCCAGGGTGGGTGTGAGTCTACCTACACCCAGGGGTATAGGTGAGTCTGATCTACCACCTACAGGGAAAGAACTATGTCRATGCAGGCCTTCCCCAGCACTTAGTCCACTCCCCAGGAAGGCCTTGAGGCTGGATATGTCTGTCCCTTGACCTGGAGTGAGTAATGAATACAACTTATGAGGTTACTATTACATCAGTTTCCTTCTTGACTATACCACAAAGGATTCTGTCTGATAGACTCTAAGGACGGAGAGACACAAATGGAGATTGGAATATAYGCCCTAACTCAGGTAAGGAACATGACTTGTAAAGTCAAGAAAGAAGAAAACAACACTCTTACCAGATCCTTCACAGGGGAAATAAGCAGACACAAAGACTAGTCTGATCAGACAAAGTTGGAGCCTGGAGCCAGGATTCAAACTGCACTGAATGAGGGGCTCATGTACAGAGAAGTTCTGGCCCGATTTTCACAGGGTCACTGTACTGTCTATCTTGTACCTCATTTTGCCAGGGCAGCACCCAGCATTGGCCCTAAGTGGGGGCTAGAGTCATGTGCCCAAACATAGGCAGAATGAGGAGATTCTGAATCACTTGGCAGTAAATGGAGTGAAGGCCGCAGCCACTCTGTACTGGGTAACCCCAGGTCTCAGGAACAGGAAATGTCAACAAGTAAGAAAACACAGCTCCTGTCTTCAGCAAATAAGCATCAGGAAAAGACAGAACTGCTAACCACTGTGGGGTCTTTGGGCCAAAATCCTTAGCACTTTCTGTGATCAAATTGCTGATTGGCAGGTGATGGGGCACATCACAGGCTTCGGCTCCATGGTCATCCTCATCTCATCTGAGATCTGGTTCATTCTGTTCATCTCAGGTGGTCATGGGCTTTACTGACACTATTCTAGCTGTGCCCWCTGCCCCATCAAGCAGTGAGATTTCTGGCRGACTTGGAGGCACTCTGGGCCCGCTGAACTACCGCAGAACACTTCTCCCGCCGCAGCAGCTTATTGTTCTCAAATAGACCTTCGTTGCGGGGTATTCCATGAGAACCATCAGGGAAAGTCAGCAGGCCTTTGAGGGCAGAGAAAATATGACAGTGACATTAACGTTGCAGAGCTCAGCTTTTGTGTAGAGGCTATAGAAGTAAAAAACTCAGCTGGGTACCACGGCTAAGGCAGGAGGATCATAAGTTTGAGACCAGCCTCAGAAACGTAGTGAGGCCCTAAGCAACTCAGCAAGACCGTGCCTCAAAATAAAAAAAAGAAAGGAGACAGGGGTGTAGCTCAATGATTAAGTGCTCCTGGGTTCAATCCCCAGTACCAAAAACAAAACAAAACTCCCAGCTCTACTCAGGCATGCTCCATTGGCGAGTTTGACAGATATCATTAGGATCATTAAGGCATGATCACTATTGATTGCTGGACATCCACAGAAGAATTAAAACTAAACAGCCTAAACATACATTAGGCTGGCCTATGTTACCCAACCTACCAGGATGCAACTTACCAAAACCATCTACTCTGCCATTTTTAAATTCCCCCTCAAAGGTCATGTTGTCGTGCCGAATGAAGACTCCAACGCCATTAAACTTGCCCTGGGCAAACTCCCCCTCATACCTACAGAAACACCAAGAGGTTAGCCTTTCGTAGGCAAGTTAGCTGTCCAGGTTAACTGAGTCAAGCAGCTGCAGGTATGTATTAGTTAAAAGTGCCATGGGGCTGGGGATGTGGCTTAAGCGGTAGCAAGCTCGCCTGGCATGCGTGTGGCCCGGGTTCGATCCTCAGTACCACATACAAACAAAGATGTTGTGTCCGCCGAAAACTAGAAAGTAAATATTAAAAAATTCTCTCTCTCTCTCTTTAAAAAAAAAAAAAAGTACCATGGAACCAAGTCCAGTGTGGTGGTACATGACTGTAAATCCCAGCTACTTGGGAAGTTGAGGCAGGAGGATTCAAAGGCTCAATCTCAGGAAAAGAATTTGAATGAATGGAGCAGGGGTGGAAGGTCACTCACCTCCTTGATATTTCGAATTTCAAATCTATTTAAAAAGTAACCAATAAAAGAACTGCCCACTCCTGGTCTGTTTTCTAGAGTGCCTGGGACAAATTCAAGGTTGATCAGATTCACTAATATCCCATTTTTATATCAGAGTCCCCCTTGTTTAAAGCTGAGAAATACTCACCTTGAACCATCTGAAAAGGTCAGTACCCCAAAGCCATTAAAGAGCCCATTCTCAAAATGACCCAGATAGGTGCCACCATCTGCAAACAGCAGTTGACCAAAACCATGCCTGCGGCCTGAACAAAAAGGACATGTACAGGTTAGAATGGGGCAACTTCAGGGTCCCTTCTCACTTGCCTAGCATCCCAACATTTCATGACCCTATTCACAAAAGAGAGAAAAAAAGTGGTGGCATTAGCAGGGTAGAGTCTGACACCAGCAAAACCTGGAACCTCCCATCTTAAGTCTCAACCATCAGATTTGGAGCACATCTCTCTAAGTATGAATAAGAGAGCTCTTAAAATAATAGTAGCCAACATTCATAGCCAGCCACTCTTCTAAGCACTTAGAATTTATGATCTTATTTAATCCTGTGGTAACCTTATGAGGTAGATACAGTACTATTATTATTCCCATTGAATAGATGGGGAAATGGAGGCAAGGAGAAGCTAAGTAACTTACTCCAGATGCCAGAGCTGGAAGTGTACAGCAAGAATGCAAATGCAGCAGACAGCCTGACTTGCAGCCCGCCGTTGACCTTAACAGCCTGACTGGCAGCACTGGCTTAGCTCTGTTACATCAATAGGGCTGTGTCCACTCACTAACCTGACCAGAAAAACCTGGGCAAGATGCTGGGAAGCAGTCATGCTGTTCAGACAGTGCAAGGGAGTTCTTTAGGTGGGTAGAGACCACCCAGCAGAGCCTCGGCAAGTCTCTCCTCTAAAAGGCTCTATTAAAGGGGACAGGAAGTGTTGGGGGAGGGGAGCAAAGACTTGGGACAAAAGGAGGCAAGGTCACAAAATGCACAATTTCTCATGGCTCAAGGGTATATCACCTGCTCCACTGGAGACCCAGTCTCCTCCAGGCAGTTCCTGGCTGACTAGGACTGGACATATGAGTCTTTAAATGGCCAGATTGTGTTTCCAAACCGAACATCATTAAACCACTTCCTGCCTGGTCTCAGGCTCTGAAGAGTTTTTCTATTCCTATGAATAGATACTTCCAAATGTAATGAGCTGTCTGTCAMAGGAAATTCAGGGGAATGAATGTCATTTGGTCTTAAGTGTCTGCCCTAATTTCCAGATCTTCTTTAACTTTTTTAAGGTTCACTGTAACCAAGACACTGCAACAAATTCTGTACTCAATTTACTGGCTTTTAAAGAATTCATTTTGTTCTTCTGGTTACATTATCACTTATTTAAGAAAATCTCAAATACTTCCACTAAAGCACGAAAGGATATTATAACACTGCAAATCTAGAATTTTGGAAAGATTCAACTTATTTGTGCAGGTTAGATTAACAACAGCATTCTCTAATTCCTTTATTTAATCCTAAAATAGAACAAAGGAAAGGCACTGTGTGAAATTAAGCCCTGGAGCAGGAAATGAAGATCTGTAAAATTGGCTCTCTATCCTGATGTATTTTCCTTCAGCTGAATGAAGTGTTCATCACTGGATCCCCTCAGGGTCCTTCTCACCCTCCTTCCACTCGCCACGATATTCCTCCCCACTGGAGTAGGTGAAAGAACCTTTTGTCAGGGTCATGGTGACAGTTTACAGAAGAAAAAGATGAAATCTGTAGGAAATAAACAGAAAAGAGTGTCATGGGATGGCTGGAGGAATGAACTGCAAAGTCATTTCACAGATGTACCCTAAAGGCTACCAGACTGGTAAGTATATGTCAACTTGGGTACATTGAACATAAACACCCTCCTTTTCAACCACCATCACCACCAACATGATCACCACCACCACAACCATGATCACTACCACCATCATCATTACCACCACCACCATCATCATTACCACCACCACCATCATTACCACTACCATCACTATCATCACCACCACTACCACCACCACCACCATCACCACCCCACAACCACCACCATCATCACCACCATCACCATAACCACCACCACCACAACCACCATCACCACCACCACAACCACCACATCTGCCCATGCACTTCTTTTTCCCACTTAAGAGTTTTCAGTCAATCTCTATTATCTATGATCTGGGATGGAAATGGAGGCTTAATCTACAAATTGTTACTCAACATCCACTATGTGCTTAGTTGATGTATACAATATAGTCTCTTCCCTCAGTGAGGTGATAATCTAGTAGATAAGACTAGCAATTAAAACACTGAATTATACCAGAGAAAATGTAATGAAGTGACAAGTTGGATACCAGAGATTAACAAAGAGGCATGGTCAAAATTTAAAATGAGCAGCAAAGAAAACTAAGAAATGAAAGCAGAAAGAGCAACGTACACATGGGATATCCAATGGGAAAATAAGAAGCCTGGTCTGATTCAGTTGAGAGCTTATTTAGGGAGTAATGAGTACACTCAGCCAAAAATCTTAAATCTAAAAAGAMCTTGTGGACTTAGTCCAAACTCTCTCATTTTACAGATGGAGAAATAGAAATTCAGAGTGGTTAAAAAATTTGAAAAAAAAAAAATTTGTTAGTGGCTAAGTGTGGTGGCGTATGCCTGTAATCCCAGTAGCTTGGGAAGTTGAAGCAGGAGCACTGCGAGTTCAAAGCCAGCCTCAGCAACTAGTGAGGCCCTAAGCAACTCAGCAAAACCCTGTCTCTAAAGAAAATATTTTAAAAAGGCTAGGGATATGGCTCAGTGCTTAAGCATCCCTGGGTTCAATCTCTGGTACCAAAAAAAAAAGTTTATTAGTGGTCAAGATGGGATTAGCATACAAGCCTCCCCTGACTATGGCCAGTCCTCCTTACCCTGTACTATGGCCTCTAATTTTAGGTCAGGTTAGCTCATGGAGATCTCTGAAAGCTAGGCAGAGTTTATAGCAACTAAGAGAGGGAAGTGGGAGTTTTGAGTGACAGAGGGGCTGAAGGGCACTGTGAACAGGGATGGTAACAATGAAAGCAAGACCAGGACAGCTGCCCTGCTGAGCTGAGCCCCAAACTCACAGAAATCACACTGACAAATAAGACTTGTTATTTCAAGCCAGTGTATTTTAGGGTGGGTGTTATCACCCAGCAAAAGCCAACTGATACATCCAAGTATGAATGGGGGATCCAGTGCAGTGGGAGCAGAAGAAATGCTACGACAAAATGCATCATGGGAAAAAAACCACCATTGGATCAGGCTAGATGGTAAAAGAATGCTCTATTCACGATATTCTATAAGAAGATATTCAAAATATCATTGACTGTAAACAGAGACAAATAGAATTATTTGAAATTCTATTTTAAATTACTGAATTATTTGAAATTATTTAAAAAATTCAAACCCTATTTAAAAAAAATTTCCTAAGTCTTTCTACTCACCCCTTCATCTCTTCTAGATCTAAGCAATACAATGTTTTCTCAAATGACAATGATGCAGATTCCTAGGCCCAAACCTGGACCTATCAAATCAGATTCTATACAGGTAGAGCTAGGGTGTCTGCAGTTTTAACAAGCCATCACTGGATTCTCACTTGAAAGCTGTGGACTACTATTCTGCTAAATGGAAATAATGTGTCAAAAGCTCTCTGAGGTATAAATCACCMTTGAAAGGTTCCCTGTGACTAATAATTAACCTAGAGTCTGAACTTCAGGCACCTGACTGAGTACCATCAGGACACATGTACCTTCTTTTCAGCACAGGGGCAAGACCTGGTGCACACAACTAGATGTGATTCTCTAAAGTCTCTGCTCAGTCTCAAAATGCCACCAACATAATTCAAAAAACATTTTGAAACAGAACAATTTTGCAAGTTGGACTAATGAGGTAAAAGCTAAGAAGAAGAAACAAAAACTATAATCACCACCCATCTGTTCTTCATCAATATTCTATGGGCTATTTTGGCTGTTTTTGATACAGATATCAAAAACCCAGAAAAGGTCTAATGTGAAAGCAGCCTGGTCTCACCACAGCAGGGTCAGGCACATCTTTGAGGTCCTGGCCCTGTCTCTAAGCTTTAGTTTCAGACACAAGRCCAGGTAAGTCCTAAGAATCCCTATGTTCTCAATCAAATATGGAGAAACATTCATTTCCAGCCCCATAATAAAGGCCAGCCTTGTGGAAGCTCTCCCACAGATGTTTGGGGTCACTTCTTTGGGACTTGTTCACTTCTTTACTTATCAGTCAGCAACTACACATCCAGGGTCCTTCACATAGTAAAAGGCACTCCCAGGCAAGGGTCATTTTCTATTTGTACTAAAGCCCCTCCAAATCTCCAGGGGCTATTTTCTCAGAAAAGTGATGCTGGTACCTGCTGTGTCCTCTGTCCTATGAATGTGTCATAAGGTCAGCATCTAATTTCACGCCCATAGACTCCTACCATCAGCTCAACATCAGAGTGTGCTTGAATAGAGATCACCATGACTCCATTGCAAATGCAACATTAATGAGAGGAAGAGAATAAATTTTCCATCAGAACAGCTGAGGAAAATTCTGTCAAGTGCAGCTAGGCATTTTGATAGCCATAAGTCATCTTCGACTCTCTCAGATCTAATAAAGTCACAACACTAACAGTCAACTTATGTACAGATCAGAAACAGTTCATCCTTTCAAAACATGTCCATTGTAATCTGAAGATATGTATCTTCTACAAAATTTATAACTAAGCCATCACTCTAGAACATAAACACAAAATCAAGGCTATAAGAATCTTTCCTTTAAATGTTTAGAAGTATTAATTAACATGGCTTCGCTCCAAATTTGGGAAGAGGTATGGCAGTGGGGTTTGAGGAGCCATAATGACAACCTTGGGACTTAGAGGGAGCATCTGTTGTACTTACTTTTCCTAAAGGCTACACGAAACTTCCAGAGTGGTATCCCATCTTGTTCCAGAGAAACTAAAAAAGGGAAAGTTTCCCAGTTTGAAGATTATCTATGGTCAATATCCTAGCCCCGCCTTTAAGTTGTAAACCTTTTGGTATGCTGTTAGCCCTTGGGACCTGTACCCTAAATATTTTAAGGAAACTGATGAAACTTGAAAGGTTACCTTATTACCAAATGTGGTAGACTGTATTTTCCAAAGATGTTTGTAATAATATCTCCCATCTTATATGTTCAAATATAATCTGACCTGCCAATGATATATCAAAACGTGAAGTTTAATTCCTTTCCCTTGAATCTGAGCAGGACTGTGACTGCTTCAACCATAGAAAATGATGGAAGCTATGTGTTCTGTGGTTAGATCATAAAAGATGATGTAACTTCCATCTGCTCACTGGCATACCCACAGTTGGAGACCTGAGCCACCACATAAGAAGTCCAACTACCTGGAGGTTCCCATGCAATGAGGAAGCAAGCCAGACAGAGAGTTGTTGCTCCACATGGCCATCCACATCTCTGAATCATCCTAGCTTGGGTACCAGGCATCAATAAAGGAGCCTTCAGATGATTTGAGCCTTCAGCCACTGAGTGAAAATCTAATCTGAGATATCATGGAGCAAAGAGAAGCCATCACCACAGTACCAGTCCCAAATTCCTGACCTACAGAATCTGTGAACATCATGTTAAAAGATACTAAATTGGGGGGTAACTTATTATACCGCAACAGTAACTTAGAACCATCTCTTAACCTCAACCTTACCATCATTCTTTCCTATTTGTTTTCAAAAGTACATATTACAAATTTCCATTATATAGGGAGAAATAGCAAATTCCCTTTAGTAATCCTTTGTCAAATTCATGTCCATTCCTAAGACTACCATCAGAAGTACCAATTAAAGGACAGATGGAGTAGAATTCATGGATACTTTTGGCTGGAAATTGCTACATGTGGCAAATAATTCATATTATCACTGCACAATATAGTGTCAGAATTTTAATTTACAACTTATGTAATTAGCCATGCTAATTAAGAGTCAGCTGCACAGCCATTGTGCAAAAAAGGAATTTCACCAGTAACCATGGTCACTGAGACAAATCTAGTTTAATATAGTCAGTGTTGATAATGACTGATAAGGGATGCAAAACAGCACTTGTATGTTATTTAAATAATCTTGTTAAAGAGAATAGATGGCCTAGGGGTGAAGATTCCTGCTTCTAAACAGGAATCCTCCCACATTCTGTGCTCTGGATGATGAGTTGCAGGATCAGCTCAAACATCTACCTAAAAGGAAATTACTATTTTGTCTCTATAAACCAATATATTATTACTCTGCATACTAGAAATACATCCCTGCTATTTTATTATTTATTTATTTATTTGGTACTGGGSACTGAACTCAGGGGTACTTTGCCACTAAGTTACATCCCCAGCCCTTTTTCTTTTTTATTTTTGAGACAGGGTCTTGCTGGGTTGTTGAGGACCTTGCTAAGTTCCTGAGGTTGGCCTCTAACTTGCAATCCTCTCAAGTTGCTGGGACATATAGGCATGTGCCACCATGCCTTGTTCCTGCTATCTTTGTTTTCTTATGTTCCAGATACTTCAAAACACAACTCTGGGATAAGCCACCCTTCCCAGAGTATGACAGTCTTGCCAAAGTTCTTTCAGTTACAATGAAAGCATTTTGTAGTCTTTTAAAATCTTCATGATAAGAAAATGAAGGCTCTGGGCTCTGGCTGTGGCTCAGTGGTAGTGCAGTTGCCTGGCATGTGAGAGGCACTGGGTTCGGTTCTCAGCACCACATATAAATAAATAAATAAAGATCAATATTAAAAAAATAAAAGAAAATGAAGGTTCTGATGAACAAATATTAAGCTTTTTAGGAAATTAGAACAGAAAGATGTTTTAAGTGCATTTAAATGACCTTGAATTTTTTTTTTTAATAATAAATCTAACCCCCCTTTTCTCTTACTTGAAAAGTAAACAAATGTATTGTTAAGAAGATGAGAAGAAAACAGTGGCACCAGAAAGACAACAAGGAAGACCTGGAAGCGATAGAGACTAGGGAGTAATGCTATCAGAACACTACTCTATTTAAAGGGAAAGGAGAACGCCTGGGCCGGGTCCTAATACGAGGTATGCCTGTTGGTATCTAAACAGTCTTGACAAAGATGCCACCCATCAAAGTAATCCAGGCATCCCATTCCCAAGGCCTCGGTATGCAGGACTTATCTCCACCACCTTGGTGGAGGCGGGCCCAGAGCAAACAAAGCCCTAGATCTCCACAAGGCAACACCCATTCTCCCACCCCATTCTTGCATTCCAGCCCCGCGCCTTCCATCTACCTGGGTTTGCTCTCCAGCCTCGCAGGTTCTTCTGTTCACACAGTTCTGTCATTCCCTCCAGACGCAGCCCCTCATACTCTGACCGCTAACCCGGGTGCTGAGCTCTCTTCCGAGACTCGACGAGTGGTCTAAACTCAAGTGCTGGGCTTGGTACCCTCCCCAGGCAGCCGCCCTCGGGTCAGGGCATCAGGATGAAGCCGCGTTCCCCAGCCCGGGTCATCCGCTTGGCTCCTCTGTCCCTACCTGGCTGACCATTCTCTCGAGGCCCCCTCTCAACCGTGCTGCCAGCCGACCGGRGCTCGGCCTTTCGGGACTACTGTCACGCCCCAACGCGGGGCTTCGGCGGCAGAAACCTTTACTCCGCCTGGCTCTCCCCCTTCCACCTTCCTCTCCGCCACTTCCACCGCCTGTCCCACCGGAGGCTGCCATCCCTCACGGCCCAATTCTTGCTGCCCATTGGCTGTTACTTAGGTAACCAGGAGCAACGCCACCTCCTATTGGTTCAGTTCGCCTCGGCGCCATCTTTGTGCGGGGCTGAGGGTACAGAGAGGCCGGGCGGAACCTCTGAAAGGGGCGGGTCTGAGCCTGCACCTAGGAGATGAAGGTTTCTGGTGTGGGTTACCCACAGACGGCGTGATAGGAATGTTAAGCCCAGAGAAAACCAAACTTGCGTCCGAAGCAACCGTGACCACTAACTTAAGAGGCTCGAATCCTCCTTCAATTCTTCAAATGTTTTAAGTACAGAACCTAAATTCGGCTTTAAAGGTGCAGCTTTGTAATTTATAACGCTCTGCGTAGGACAGTTGCCCTTTAATAACTCTGTATCAAACACTGTGATATAAAGACATTTTTGCATTAATGATAGGGACTTATGTTGTCATTACCCAAGTCCTTTGAGGTTAAAATGTAGTGCCAAAATTGGAGCAAATCTTCCTAAATTCTATGTGCAGCGATCAGTGTATTCATGTTTATTTACTGAACTATGTGAATGTAGCATGACTCTAGGTTCTGTCAGGCTTGAAAAGCCAAGGTTGCTGTCACACGATTTACTGTTTTACTCCAGCAATGAGAAAAATCTAAGGTTCAATTATTATTGTTATTGAAAGCGCGGTTCTTGTCCCCTATGCCAATCCAATAACGAGGACACTGTTGTGAGAAAAAAGAAAAAGAAGTTTTATTGCTTTACTAGGAAAGGAGAAATACCGGGGACTCACGTCCTAGAGGCTGTGATTCTGCCCATCAGGGAAAACAGAAGGCTTTAAAAGAAGCTATTCAAAGGTACCCTGGCAGAGGGGTTGCAGGTGCATCCTGATGGTGTGTTGAGATTCACTTCGTTAATTTGGGAAATAGTCACTTCCTAGATCTTCCAATAACATCTCCTTCCTTTGGAGGTCAGATAACTCAAGGTAATCTTGTTCCTCACCTCCAGGTTAGAAAGGGGAAGGGAGAAGAAGAAAAGAAACACAGCCCTTTTAAAATAAGATGCAAGGGCTATAGTCAAAAGGTGAAATGGATCACTATTACATTAGGAGAAAGCAAGTCCATGAGAGTAAGCCCATTGTTTTTCTGGATTGGGATTTCTTCACCTGTAGACTAGAAAATGATAATAATGATAATAATASTAGTAAAGGCTCTTTAGGATTTGTATGAGAATACTCTGTAAAATAAATGGTAGTTTAAAATTATTTTTTAAAACTTGGATTCTTTGCTCAAATCCCATCTTTGCCACTTATTGTGTGTAATTTGGAATAAGTTATTAATGTCTGTAGCTTGTAAAATGAAATTGGACCAGTAAACCTATAAGATTAAATTCTATGCTAACACTCAATGGTACATATGCTAAAGTAATATTGACTATAGACATAATTGAAGTCACTAAGAGAATGGTGTTAAGGAAATAGATCTTACTAGAATGGAGAATGCATATTAGAAAATGTGAAGAAATAAGACTAAATAGATTGGGTGAGGCCAAATTTTGAGAGACCTGAAAATTAGGGAGGAGATAATGRTTTGCAAAATGTAGTTATTTGAACAAATTGACAGAAAGTGGAAGTGAGATTGCTATGTGTTGCAGGGAGGAAAGGAGGAAGGAATATTGTATAATGGAAGCAGAATTTCTGTCGTTTTGTTAGGGTGTACAGGGGAGGAGATATTTGTTGTTAATGGGTGCAGATAATGAAAAAGTTTTGGGTATAGATTGTGGTCATGGCCACATAACATTATGAATATATTTAATGTCACTGAATTGAACATGGTGAATGCTTAGATGGTAAGTAGTATATGTATTTTACAATAAAAATGTAGTTTCTTGGGTCTGGGGTTGTGGCTCAGCGGTAGAGCACTTGCCTAGCACAGGCGAGGCCCAAGGTTCRATCCCCAACACCACATAAAAATAAATAAATAAAGATATTGTGTCCAACTACAACTAAAAATGAAATTTTTTAAAAAATGTAGTTTCTTGGCTAGAGGAGTGACATAATGAAACTAGTATTTTAAGAAAATGAATCTGGCAGTGATAGCCAGAGATAAGCAGTAAGAGTGATTGGTCAGAGAGACAAACTGAGGAGCAATTGAAATGTAACTAAGACATCCTAAAAGTCTCAAAACTAATGTGGCATCAGTGGAAATGGAAAGAAAGTGGGTAAATATGAGATATATCTTATAGGGATATTTAACAAGAAGAAATATACTGTAGTTTTAAAAACATGGAGCTAGGCCAGGTTTGTTGGCCCACCCCTGTAATCCCACAGACTTGGGAGGCTTAGGCAGCAAGATTACAAGTTCAAGGCCAGTCTCAGCAATTTAGTGAGGCCCTAAGCAACTAAGTGAGACCCTGTCTCAAAATAAAAATTAAAAAGGGCTGAGAATGTTGCTCAGTGGTTAGCACCCCTGGTTTCAAATCCCCAGTTTATTTTTTTTTAAGAGAGAGTGAGAGAGAAGAGAGAGAGAGAGAGAGAGAGAGAGAGAGAGAGAGAGAGAGAGAGAATTTTTATATTCATTTTTTAGTTCTCGGCGGACACAACATCTTTGTTGGTATGTGGTGCTGAGGATCGAACCCGGGCCGCATGCATGCCAGGCGAGCKCGCTACCGCTTGAGCYACATCCCCAGCCCTCAAATCCCCAGTTTAAAAAAACAAACAAACAAAGACAAAAACAAACAAAACAAAAACCATAGAGCCCATCTGTCTGGATTTGAGTCCAGGCTCTGCCAGTTACCAGATGAGTGACCACAGACAAATTACTTTACTCCCCTGGACCTCAGTTTTCAACATTATAAGAGCTATAATGCTACTCACATGAATTAATCCATGTAATGTACTATGCACTTAAAACAATGGCATACACTTGGCATTTGGTAAGTACTAGCTATTCATGTGCTGACAATATGTTGACATTCATTTCAGTAAAAGGAAAATCAAGTTCTAAGAAATAGATGCAGAAATAAATTCTAAGGCAGTTTTCGCAGAGGGGGAAAAAATAAAAACCAAAAGAATTCTATGGAGAAGTTCAATTCTGGGACCTTTCCTTGACCATAATTTGAAGCTCATGGGCTGAAGGAGATGGTTAATACTAAGAGATTATCTCTGTGGCTGTGGCCTCTGGGACACAGAGGCAGGCATTACTTTGCTTGATGTCTAGACAGGAAAAAAATGCATAAGTTCTAACTGAAAGAGGCAATTGCACTTTAAATGGACCTTTGCCTGGAAGGGTTTATTTGGCCAAAAWGTTTGACATTCCTGTATATACAACTAAATAACTGTTCTTTCATTTCAGTACTTCTGTTTAACTAGCAATAATTTGATTTGAGAACAATTATGAAATATTGGTKACCATTTCATAATTGTTCTCAAATCAATTGTTCTCAAATCATCTTTAGTGAAAATCCATACCCCTAGTCTGCTGGTTACTTTAAATAGAACAACAACAATATTAACAATAACCTCAGCAATTATGTTGGGTATGGTGGCATACACCTGTAATCCCAGATACTTGGTAGGCAAAGGCAGGAGAATCACCAGGCTGGGCAGTTTAGCAAAACCCTCAAAATTCAAATAAAAAATTTTAAAGGTTTGGGGATATAGCTCAGAGGTAAAGCACTTCTGTGAGGYCCTGAATTCAATCCCCAGTACCTCAAGAAAAATAGTAAAATAAAAAATGAAAATAACCCAGCAATGACAAAAGTCTAATATTTGTTGAGTGCTTTTTATGTATTAAGCACTATGCTAACTGCTTTACATATATCATAGATTTTATTTAATCAAATGAGATTTGAATATTATAGATGAGGAGATTGAGACTTAGGGTAAATAATTTATCTAAAATAATCATTGTAGTGCCAGTATTCAAACTCAAATGTCTCTTGATTCTCAAGTCCAGGCTTCTACTCATTACACACTATACTTTACAATGTAGTGTTAGTTGGGGCTTTAGCTAAGTGATAGGGTGCCTGTCTAGCATATGTGAGGTCCTGAGTTTTATACTCATTTGATACTCAGCTAGCGCACACACACACACACACACACACACACACACACACAGAGAGAGAGAGAGAGAGAGAGAGAGAGAGAGAGAGAGGGCAGTAGTATAAATTTTAACTGAGCTGGGTGCAGTGGTGTACAACTATAATCACAACAATTTTGAAGGCGAAGGCAGGAGGATCACAAATTTGAGACCAGCCTCAGCAATTTAGCAAGAACCTGTCTCAAAATAAAAAATAAAGAGGATTTGGGATGTAGCTCAGTGGTAAAGTGCACTGGGTTTAGTCCCCAGTAACAAAAAAGAAAAAAGGAAAGAAAAAAAGAAACAGAAATGTTAGCTAAAACAGTATCCTATGGATTTAAAAATGTAATTATTCCAATCCTCTTCAGATGCCATTCATACTTACTCCAGAGTTACTTCAGGGTACCTGGGTCTGGAGTTGTTCTGTTTCACATCACTTTCTTGCTCAAGATCTGTTCCATAAAGCTCCCTGTGCCTCTCTGCTTGGCTCTCCAGGTCATAATCCAATTTGATGCTGTTTCCCCTCAGTCAAGCAGATTGCTGTCTGTTCTTGCAAGCTCTAACTTCTTCTTTCTTCCAGCAACTCCCTCTGCTTGGGGTACTATCCCCCCCCACCCCCCACCCCCGCCACACCCATACCTTTTACCCAGTGATTTAATTACACACTTCTTCTTAGCTTATAGTACAGGCCCCACATACAGTCTTTGCTCACTCTCCAGCTTACCCCGCAATCTGTGAACTGCTATTATGGAGTTTGCCGCTAGCATTTTTTGATTCCCCCCACCCCATACTTTCTCAGACAGCTGATTGTCTTCAGCTTGGTCAGTAACTGTGTTTTCCTTGCCTTTTCCACTAATAAAAGTGTACCGAAAACCTACTGTGTTTAAACACAGAGGTTTTACAGTGATGAATAAGTTATGGAATCTTTCTTCAGGAAACTTTTTAGTCCCGTGGGAGACTACATCTTTCCTCAACAAATAAGCATTGGGTAATTGGGCCAATCACTATGTAAAATGCACGAAGATGAGGATTTTTAAATTTTTATTTGTTCTAATTAGTTATACATGATAGCAGACTGCATTACGACTCATTGTACACAAGTGGAGCACAACTTTTCATTTCGCTGGTCGTACACGATGCAGAGTCACACCATTCGTGCAATCATACATGAACATAGGGTGATAATGTCCGTCTTATTCCACCATCTTTCCCACTTCCACAYCCCCTCCCCACGCTTTGCCCAATCCAAAGTTGGATGGGGATTTTAAAAAAGCTTTTCATTGAGGTTGTACGGCGGTGGAGGGTTCCTTTGATTGACTGCTATCTCTCCCGCACTTAGAACACAGTAGGTACTCAATTAATGATACAAAAATAAGATTTCTTCCATACTCACAGCCACTTTATAGTAGGCACGCAATTAAAAAGTGACCAATACGAAAAGCTAATGTTTTGAAAGCGCCAAAGACTAGACAGCCAATTGGAAGAAGAGGGCGGGGCTGGGATGACAGTGGGCAGAGGGCGTGTCTGACCCGGAGTTGGCTCCTAGAGCATGCGCAGTCTTCACCGAAGGTGACGGGGAAAAMTGCGGAGGCCCGGATTGCGTAGGAGCAGGTTCTGATTGGCTACTGTTCGTGCGCGAGGGGCCGTGCCTACTCGTCGCCAAGTAAACAGGGCAGTCTAGAGGCGGGGCCACGGAGGCACCGCGACCTGATTGGCCCAGCATGAGGTGGGGGGTGCCACGGATTGGTCCCGGCCGCGAGCTCTGCTGTGTGGAGCGCGCCGGGTCCCGGAGCCGGCGGCCAGAGGGATGGACGAGACGAGCCCACTAGTGTCCCCCAAGCGGGCCCAACCCCCGGAGTACACCTTCCCATCGGGCTCGGGAACTCATTTTCCGCAGGTACCAGGGGGCGCGGTCCGCGTGGCGGCGGCAGCCGGCTCGGGCCCCTCTCCGCCAGGCTCGCCGGGCCACGACCGGGAGCGGCAGCCACTGCTGGACCGGGCCCGGGGCGCGGCGGCCCAGGGCCAGACTCATACAGTGGCGGCGCAGGCCCAAGCCCTGGCTGCCCAGGCCGCGGTTGCGGCKCACGCAGCGCAGGCCCACCGAGAGCGGAACGAGTTCCCGGAGGACCCCGAGTTCGAGGCGGTGGTGCGGCAGGCCGAGGTGGCCATCGAGCGGGGCATCTGYCCTGAGCGCATCTACCAGGGCTCCAGCGGGAGCTACTTCGTCAAGGACCCTCAGGGGGTGAGAGCTGGGTTGGGGATCGCGGTCCCCGGGCGGGTGGAGCACTGAGGGAGTTCTGGGTTTCGCACCTTCTGGGGAAGAAAAAAAAAAGCTGCAAGAGAGAAACTTCACAGTGCCAGCCCTTAGCAGGATTTTGGGATGCCACTGAGGACTGGAGGTAGGGAAGCTCTGCAGGATGAAGAAATAAATCAGATCCTATTTGGTGGGGGAGGCGTGAAAAAGAAAAGAGGAAATTGACCAGATAACAGGCTGAGGGCTCGGTGGTGTGGGGCAATTTGCCTCTAGACAGAGAAGCTTAAGCAGATGCTGTTTTGCAGTAGGTTCCTTAGCTTTATGAACTACTGAGACTACTATTTGGCCATTGGTTGGTTTACAGATTTGTACAGATTTGGGGCTCTGGGCTTGTTCCTCTTTTTGCACCGAAGCAATGTGTTGCTGTTCTGAAGAACAGGTGAACCATCAGGGGCTCTGAGGATTCAGTCCAGGTCTTCTGTGTTGTGATGATATATATATCTCCTGCCACAGTCCCAGGATTTTTTTGACAGAAGTTTGTGATAGTGTGGGGGGACGCATCAGTTTCACCTGGCCTCGTTATTGTTCACTTCCTCTGAGAAAAGGTTCAAATCAWTTCTGACAGTTCCTCAGTGTAGAACATGGAGTTTTAGAAACATGGGACTCTGCTATCTTTTACTTTCATTCTCTCCCAGGCCTATCAGCAGTTTGCTTTTCAATTAAGGTGGAGTTTTGCTGACCTTTATTTTGTCCCCTGCATGCATTTTCAGGGGGATGGGCGTGGGATAGGGCATGGAGCAACCAGGGCAACTGAGAAGTGACTTTTTATCCTTTTGAGAACTACAGAAGAATTTAAGGCATTTGACTTAGGATCAAGCCAGGGGTATTGAAGTCTTCAGATGTTCCATAATGGTTCATTGGGAAAATGTGTTATTGTTATACTTCTTAAAATAGTGGGTGTCAAAGTTTTCTCACATTTTCCCAGCATCTCTCCTGCGTGGACTCTTTAGATGCACAGTATATTTGGGTTTTTTTTGTTGTTGTTGTTTGTTTTATTTTTTTTGTTACCAGGGATTGAACCCAGGGGTGCTTTACAAATTGTAAAACAGTACTTAAGTGCTTTACAAATTGCCCCRCACCACTGAGCCACATCCCTAGTCTGTTTTTTTTTAAATTTTTTATTTAGATACAGGGTCCTGCTGAGTTACTTAGGGTCTTGCTAAGTTGCTAAGGGTRGCTTTGAACTCATGATCCTTCAACTGCTGGGATTACAGGCTTGTGCCACCATGCCTGGCCAGTATATTGTTTTGACAGAGGAGTCGTGAGTGACCAGGATGAGCTATYACTTGTAGCTCTTGGTCAGGTCCATTGAATGATTCATTTATTCATGAAAGTCATCCCTGAATTATTAAGAACCAGAAGACAATTCTGCCATCAACTYTGTGTAYATAACCTGGGTTACAAAAGGCTTTGAGAGTAATAGTTCTTTTCCAAGACCCTTAAATAAGGGAGCTTGAAAACTCAAATGGGAACCATAATTTCTAGAAACAAGGAAAGTTGAGTGTCCTGAGATCTAAAAGTCAGCAAAGTGCTTTGTCTTTTTGAAAACAGAATGAGATTTAATGTGTGAGTTGTTTTGGTTTTTTGGGGTGGGGCGACGGGGAGGTTAGCTTGTTGACTGAGAATGTGCTAAGATTATCTTTGATAGGTTCAGGATGAAAAAGATTTTTTTTTTCATGACACTTTACAATTCCCATGGCAGTATGTCAGGTCCCAYTCTTAGGAGTAATAGGATCTCTCAGTTATCCCTGGAAGATAAAGTACTATCATTTCATACATACACAGAGAAAGGCACACCACAGGTAAGTTTCTTGGTGATGTTTAGGCTATCGGTCGCTAAAATTTCCTGGCCACTATTCTTTATTAGAGGGGAACTCAAAACAAGATGCTCTGATCAAACTTTTAATGTAACCATCCTGCTCCCTCTGAGGAAATGTGATTTAGAACAGAAGACTACTTCCTAAATGCTGTGTGTGGGGGGGTTACACTGGCCCCTCACTGTAGTTAGTATTGTCATTTTGACCTTACTCCAAATGTATTTTATTTAACAAATACTTACATAGCACTTACTATATGCCAGGTTGTGTTTTAAGTGTTTTACAAATAGTARCTCATTTAATCCTTATAACCACCCTCCAAGATGAGYACTATAATTATCCCCACAGGTGACAACACTGAAGCACATAGTATAACTAATTTACCCAAGGTCTCACAGCAACCAAATCGTGGAGTTGGGCATATTGRCTCTGGAGGTCATGCTTCTAACCACAGTGCTCTGCTGCCCCAGAGTTACTCATCTGAATTTCTGGTTTCTCTTTTTAGCCAATATATTGCTTAGTACTGAATTTGGCAGTGTGTGACAGACATTTTAAAATAATAATGATTTGAAAAAAAGGTTCATTTATCTCTTGTGTAAAGGACTTCTGTAGGCTGCATGGCATTTTACTTTATCACSGGTTCAGGTCCTTCTTCTATCCAGGATTCAGCCATCCTTAGTGTGTGGCTTCCACTTCATGTTCCAAGTGGCTGCTTGTGCTGCAGAGATCTTATCTGTTTTTCAGCTATTTGGAAGAAGGAAAAGRAGAGAAAGAATGTCGCCACCCCTCAGGACCTTTCCTAGAGTTGCATCAGAGCCTTCTGCCTAAAAACATTGTTCATAATTTAGGGGCAGTAGTGGCTGGAACTRTAGTCTTTATCTTGCCCAGCTAAACATCAGGAGTCCCATGACTAGGGAAGAACCTGGGAACRGCAGTTTCTATAATGGCTACTTTTGAAACTTAGTCTGAAAAGATTCTTGAAGAATCTGATTCTAGTCCTGATCCATTTCCCAACATCGAATGGTTTCTGTCACAGGGTAAGTGGGGACCTGGAACTGTTAGAGAGAAAGTGCTAGATTAGGAGTCATGGTGGAGTGTGCTCACATTACCCCTCCTCACTTACATCCTTGTGCTTCAGGTCTCATGTTCACTCAGGAACAAGCATATTTTTTGAACATTCTCTAGTTTGTGAGGTCAGTCCTACCAGATGTTCATATTATCAGGAATCACAGAACAGCATGTGATTTACTAGTTTAAGAGGATTAAATGAGATATTACACATGAAAGGCCCTGGCGTAGTTCCTGGTTTTTAGATGAAGCTTAGAGTTTTTGTTTTGTTCTGTTGTACTTATTGATCCCTGGATTGGCTTTCTTGGATACACAACATTGAAAAAGGCAAAAGTAGTATAATTTTGAGAAGATACTTTTAACCATTGAGAATAGCAGTTCATTAGATCATAGTAAGTTTGSTATTTGCATCAATGCCAATTACAGTATCTATAAAGACACTGCCCACATGTTCTAGGAACTTGGCCTATCATTGATTTTCAATATTTATTTATTTATTTATTTTTGTGGTGCTGGGGCATGAACCCAGTCTCCCGTGTGCTAAGCAAGCACTCTGCTACTGAGCTACATCCCAATTTTCAACCTTTAATAGACTTTATCCACCAACTGTTTGCCATGAAAGTGGTATCTTTTTCCATTTTTAGTTCTTTTTTTTTTTTGCCTTAGTACTGGGGATTCAACCCAGGGCACTTAGCCACTGAGCTACATCCCCAGCACTTTTTAAAAAATATATGTTTTATTTAGAGATAGTCTCACTGAGTTGCTTAGGGCCTCAGTAAATTGCTGAGGTTGACTTTGAACTTGTGATCCTTCTGCCTTAGCCTCCTGAGCCGCTGGGATTACAGGTGTGTGCCACTGTGCCTGCTTCCATTTTTCAAATATAAAACTTAAAATATTGAATATGCTTCTTCCAACCACATGTGTCCTCTAAGAAATTCTTGTTTCTTTTACTTCAAACACAGTAAAATTCTTTTACCAAAATGTTAAAAGTTGGGTTGGGGTTGTGGCTCRGTGGTAGAGTGCTCGCCTAGCATGAGTGAGGCACTGAGTTCAATCCTCAGCACCACATAAAAATAAATAAAATAAAAGTATTGTGTCTATCTACAACTAAAAAAATATATTTTTTAAAAATGTTAAGAGATGGTCAAATTTGTGCATCCTATACAGATCTTGAGATTTTAAGCATCATCTACTATCAATACAAGCAGTTCTTCCAAGCCACAAGTTGTAATGGGCAAAGCAGTTTGGATCAACAGTGTGGTGTGAAAATACACACAAGCTAAATCATTTTCACTACATTCTGTCTGTTTGGACTCATCTTCTTTCAGGGTTTAATATGTTTGGAATAGCCCTTTCTTCCCTTCTGTAAGGGTTAATGTGTATGTGTCAGGTGTGGTGGTGCACATCTGTAATTCCAGCGGCTCTGGAGGCTAAGGCAGAAGGATCACAGGTTCAAATTTAGCCTCAGCAACTTAACAAGGCCCTAAGCAACTTAGTGAGATCCTTAAAATAAAAAAAAATTTTAAAAAGGGCTGGGGATGTAACTCAGTGATTAAGCACCTCTGGGTTCACTCCCTGGTACCAAAAAACAAACAAACAAACAAACAAACAAGAGTTAATGTGTGGGCTGGAGTTGTCGCTCAGTGGTAGAGTGCTTGCCTAACACTTGTGAGGCACTGGGTTCGATCCTCAGCACAACATAAAAAGAAATAAATAAAATAAAGGAATTGTGTTCATCTACAACTAAAAATATTTTTTTAAAAAAGAGTTAATATGTATGTAAATAAGTCAAGGACAGCTTTTTCTCTCCAACCTCTAATGCAGAATGCAGTAGTACTTAAAGTGTGGCCCAGGGGCTCCTATGAATTCCTTTTKGGGGTCCAAGGCTAAAAATTATTTTCCTAATAATTGTAAGACTTTATTTGCCTATTTCACTCTCATTTCCTTATGAGTGTAGAGTGGAATTTTCCAGAGATCACATGATGTGTGATATCGAAACAGATTGAATACTAAGGAAGATGTGAGAACCCAGTTGTCTTCTATTAAGCCAGACGTTAAAGAGATTTGAAAAATGTAAAACAATGCCAGTCTTCTTTCACAAAAGTATTTTTGAAAATGAAGGCTAGGAAAATACATCTTCATTTGTCATTAAAATATATCATGATTAATGTAAAGTAGGTTTATGTTTATTATTAAATGAATTAAACAGTTTTCTCAGTTTTAATTTTTAATACAACAGATAGAGCTTGAACAAAAGTTTTTTTGGGTCCTTTATAATTTTTAAGAATTTAAGAGAATCTTAAGACCGACACGTCATGTTTACGAAACTTTTAAAGAAACTATTTCATCAAAGGCCACTTTTTTTTTTTTAATTAAAGATCACTTCTGTTTATTTCACTGTTCGATATGAGTGATGCACTTGAACTGTCTTAAATTTTAGGTTTCTGGAGAAAAGGGTGGTGGCGGGCAACTATGACAATGACTGTTGCTGCTTTTCTTCCTCTCCATCTATTTTTTTTCTTCTTGTTTTTCTTTCCTTCCTTCCTTCCTTCCTTCCTTCCTTCCTTCCTTCCTTCCTTCCTTCCTTCCTTTCTTTCTTCTTCTTCTTTTTTTTTTTCTTAAGGGAGATTGCCCAGGCTGGTCTAGAACTCCTGGGCTCAAGTGATTCTCCTATGTCAGCCTCTCTGGTGGCTGGGGCTGCAGGTGTGCATCACTAGACCCTGCTCAAGGGCCTTTCTTTCACAGCATAATACTCTCTTTCTGTTGAGCTATTCGGAACTCTCTGGGTCCCAGGTTCCAATAACTGATTGTAGAGCTTGACACCAGCCAGTGAATGACCTCTTGCTTCCTTGTGCAGTTCTGTTGTTATCCTCATCTTCATGGACTACTATTACTTTAGCTATCTGTATTTCAACCTCTTCATTAAACAGGGACATTACTAAGTGGGTATTAAGGAAAGGTATTTTTAAAATATTGGCACTAAACTGAAAATTTCTCCTAGATATAATAAAGGAATTGRTAGTCTGTTAGGAGAGAGAGGATGGTGAGGAAAACTAGGCATTCATTTTCTTTCTCAACTGAAAACTGGTGGGTAAGGAGGGTATTCTTGATTATTCARTAACAGTCAATTATATGAAGTGAACATTAGCTTGAGTTGGCTGTGGAGTGTGGGGGAGGAGGAGGGTCATATGATATGAAGATGAGTCACTTGGTTAGCATATTTGCTTTTCTTTCTTTGAATTACCAGTTTGGGGACTGGAGGGAATAAGATAAATGTAAAACAACCTCAGAGAGTTGACTGACCTGTTGAAGAAAATCTTCAGGAGGGAGAGCCAGAGTTTCTAGGTATCCCRTATTTCCAATGACATTTGAAGAAGATGGATTTAATCTTTTTGGTCTCTTCTATCCTGGTCCCTTGCCTATCAGAATTTACTTAAGAGAATTCTATTTTAACCAGGTAGCAGATTCTTTTTCTCTTTGTCTCTTAGGCTCCTTTTTTGGGGATTGAACCCCCAGGTATACTCTATTGCCCAAGCTGACATTGAACTTGATCCTTTCATCTCAGCCTCCTGAGTCACTGGGATTACAAGCATGTGTCATCATGCCTGGCTCTTTGGTTGCTTTCTTTGTTTGTCATTTCTAACTTTTTATTTCAAGATTTTGTTAATACCCAAGAGATGAGATAATAAGATTGACAGAGGAAATTAACCATTGATGAAGGAATTTTTAAACCTCATTCATAATACTTTATTTCCTGTTAGTTGATAACTTTTTGAGTCTTTACATAATTGATAAAGAGAAATTGTGTTTATGTATATACCTTGGAAGTTGGAGATTTATGGTGTTAAAGTTCTGGCGTGCCATATAAAGGAAAGGTCCTATTGGATAAATGGAGGCAGGAATACATGCATCCCTGAAAAGTTATTTCCTCACTTGGAGGAGAAGATTACTTTGGAGCTCTTATTATATGCAGTGTGATGTTATATCCTTCTGGTATTAGTATAAGATTGCAGTCTATGGCTCAAGATGAGCCACTGAGTTGGCTTCTGAATCTTGCTTCTAGAAATGTACAAATCCATTCACCTTATTTCTTTGAAGCACAAAGTTAGAGATAAGTATGAGAGAAGAATGATGGAGAGGAGTGAAGTAGCAAGAAGAATGAGGAGACTTGACACCTTTGGCCACAGCTCTTTTGATCAGTGGGTCTCAGTTGCACATACAAACTGGTGTCTTACSAGCTAGTGAGTAGCCTCTGTCTGACTAAACAGGAATTGTCTTCTTGTGTGCACTCATTTCCTTCTGGATTTCTGCTGACTTRGTCTGACTTTTTTTTTGGTGGTGTTAGGGATTGAACCTAGGACCTGGTGCATGCAAAGTGTACARTCTACTACTGAATTATAACCCATCCTCCCAACTCATCTTTTTCTTTTGTCTGTGTAGAGGATCATTGCTGTCTTCAAACCCAAGAATGAAGAGCCATATGGGCATCTTAATCCTAAGTGGACCAAATGGCTGCAGAAGTTGTGCTGTCCCTGCTGCTTTGGCCGTGACTGCCTTGTCCTCAACCAGGGATATCTCTCAGAGGCAGGGGCCAGCCTGGTGGACCAAAAACTGGAACTCAACATTGTACCCCGTACAAAGGTCAGTGACCTTAGTGCTGGGCTAAAGTTTTGCTGAGGCTTAAACCTTGTTAATGGGACTTTGGGTCTAGTGGGGGCTGTTTCAATCTTGGAAAGTCCTTTTTTGGGAGAAGGTAACAGGATTAGGCTCACAGATTATTCATCTGATGAAAGTTGTTCTTGAAGGACATACATACAGATTTTTACCACACATATTTGCAATTAGTATTTTGCGTATATTTTCAGATGACAATTTCAGGAATTTCACAGATGCCTAATGCACATTTATGGGCTCTCTTGGTCTTTATATCCCAGGGAACCCCAAGCTGGTTAGAAACCTAGCTATTTTAAAACTCACTCTCTTAGACCTTAGAGCTATTCCAGGATTTCATTTTTTTATTTTTATTTTTTAAAGACAGGAGCTTGCTATGTTGCCCAGACTGGCTCTTCTGGGCTCCAGTAATCCTCCTGCCTCAGTTTCAAAAGAAGTTGAGACTGCAGGAGCATGCCACCATAATAATAGACATAATCTAGAATGGATGAGCTGTTTAAGAACCCCCGTACTTCATGAAACTCTCCAAGAGTTATGAGGGGAAGAAATATGTTGGTCAGCATACAAGCAATTAAGGACACATCATCACCCACTGAGTATGTGGCACCTGAGGTTTAGTAACAAGTGGCACTCTGATCTTATGCCCTGAGGCTGCAGAGGGGGCTTCATAGTTCTGGGTCATAACCCTCTTTGAGAATCTGATGACAGCTGAAGGTCCTATTCTTAGAAAAAAAMCACACATATTTGCAATTAGTATTTTGCGTATATTTTCAGATGACCAGTTGAAATCTATCCATTGACCCCCTCTAGACCATGCCTTGAGATCAAAAACCTCTGCTTGAGGTTTTCTTCATAGGTTTAGATGGCAAAGAAATTGATTAGCAGATAGGAACTGCCCTGCAAACTTGGTTTTACATTTTTTGTTTTTCTCTTTAGTTCGGGGGATTGAAAACAAAGGTGCTCTACTGAGATACATCCCCAGTCCTTATTATTTTGAGACAAAAGCCTCCTTAAGTTGCCCAGCCTGGTGTTGAATTTGTGATCTTCCTGCCTTAGTCTCCTGAGTAGCTGGGATTATAGGTGTGCACCATTGTTTTAGGATTTTTTAAGAAGACAATGGGATTATTGTGAATGTTTTAACTATTTCTGCTTCTTTTCCACTGAACTCTAAACAATAGGCCAACTAGTTTGTGAATTTCTAGAAGTTAGAGATCACTTCTTGAGATATTCATTTCCCATTCTAAGCACCTAGCAAAATACTATATAGTAGGTAAGTGTTCATTAAATATCTGAATCAGTGAATAAATGTCTAATCAAGGAAACAATTCCAAAGATTCCCCCAAGGAAGAATGGAGAGAATGAATGTTTGACCAGGCTATGGTTCCCATTTGTTACCTAATTCACTGCCTGGATTTGTGCTCATTCCCTCCCTTTATATGTTGATTTTATTTCTCTGTGAAGATAGTTAAACAACACACTTTCAGCATCTTGTGTGATAATTAACACTCCCAGATCTCTTSCCTAACCTGGAATCCTCCTACTAAGCCTCTCCTAGGCTCTAGAAACTTTWAAAATACTCCTTGCTCATCACTGTGTGATTTCCTTCCTGTTCTTGACTCTGTGCTTGCCTGCTAACTGGTGTTTCTGGAGAGCAGTGCTTAAGAATCAGAAAGCTCGATTTGAAATCTGACTCAAAAGCTTTTTATTTGTGTGACCCTTGTGCAAGTCAATTAATTCCCTGAGGCTGTTTCCTTACTGTAAAAATAGGGATATAAATAGTTCCTTTTAGGGTGGCTATTAGGATTTCACAAAAAAACTTAAAGGTAGACTGCTTGCCTCACATGCAAGAGGCCCTGGGTTTGATCCCCAGCACCACACACACACAAAAATTACACAAGATAATCCACTTAAAGCACATAGCCCAGTACATGACACAGGCTATACTCCGGTTAGCCTGTGTTATTTGTAAGCTATTCTAATCATTAATGTTGCCTGCACAACCCTTTTCTTTCCCATGTCTGTTCCTCCTCTTTCCCTATTAATGATGCCTGARGATTTTTTTGCATCAGAAAGTTAGCAACAGCTAAAACTCTTGTCTTCCATGAGACTAAGATAAGATGGAACTTTACAACTAAAGTTCAGCTGCTGAGAACAGTGAAAGGAATCATTCACTTCCTTACCTCCCCTGTTTGTGACCAGATTCTGTCCATCTGTCACTATGAAAATGGAGCTTACAATTGTTATGGAGCTCCAAATAGTAAGGTTCTAATTCTCACTCACTGGCTGTTTCTGTTCTCTGTTCCTGTGAGATTTCAGGTTATGATAGTTTCATTAATCATAGGAGAAAAGCAGTTTGTTAGGAAGCATGATCAAAAATAAATGTGAYAGGAGGCAAACGATGCTTTATGGCTTGAGAGGATCAGGGTTTTCATAGTGGAAACTGGCAAATTAGAAAGCACTTTTCACTAATTAGAACAAATAAAAATAAATGAATACCAAAAAAAAAAAAAAAGCCCTTTCTTTCATTCATATGCCTGAGTTTCCTGATTTGTAAGGTAGGGAGTGCTTGCTATAGTACCTTGCACATTCATTTCAGGGAACCCTGATAAAACGGGATGAATGGAAGGAAGGAGGCTTGTATGGGAATAAATTATTTTGCTTTTAAGGTTCATGGGCAAATAAGGCATTATTTGTAATGAATTTTACAGCTTAGGACAAAAATTTTCTTATAAATTTGATTTAAGGTATTTRTATGCTAACTATTATATTTTAACTATATGCTAACTATATTTTAACTATTTCTGCTTATTTTCCACCGAACTATGCTAAAACTCACTAGTTGCCTTCTCTAAAAGAATTTGTAACTCATTCATTCTTTCATTTGTTCAGTTAATACTTAATGAACATGCCAGGTACTGTGTTAGGTGCTGGGAATGCTAATATGAATAAGATGTTCTCTGCCTCCCAAAATGTCTAGGTTTTTTCCCCCCTGGTAATAAGGGATTGAACCCAGGAACACTTTACTAATGTGCTGTATCCTTATCAATTTTTATTTTTTATTTTGAGACAGTGTTTTGCTGAGTTGCTAAGGATTTCACTAAGTTGCTGAGGCTGTCCTTGAACTTGCTAGCCTCCTGCCTCAGCCTCTCAAGTTGCTGGGGGTACAGGTGTAATCCTGTGCCTGACCCCAGCCCTTTAAAAATATTATTTTGAGACAGTCTCACTAAGTTGCCAAGGCTAGGMTCAAACTTGGCAATCCTCCTGCTTCAGTCTCCCAAGTCACTGAAATTATAGGCATGTGCCAAACTCTCCCTGCTAAATCTCATTAATTTTAAGAGAGAAGTTAGATATGTGATTGGATAATCATAAGACATGTGGTAATGGACATGCATATGGATTACAATGGTGTCACTGCATTTTGACAGCCAAGTGTGATGATATTGACTTCCCATCATAATTTATGTGTGTGTGTGTGTGTGTGTGTGTGTGTGTGTGTGTGTGTGTGGGGGGGGGGGGGGTACTGGGGATTAAACCTAGGAGGAATTTTCCCAGCTTTTTAAAAATTTTATTTGAAGATGGGGTCTTGCTAAGTTGCTGAGGGTGGTCTTTT